TGATTAGGATCAATTTCAAATTTTGGTATATAATCTAAACCAATTAATCTACGCAAAGCATTAAAATTTATGTCCTAATCTACCATGCCATAAATTTGACTCAAGAATATAAGCAAAAGATGTGTTATTATTAATAGAAAGTTTTAGTACAATAGTCATTACATTCAACTTGAAGAGACCATTACTCGTGTATCTCTTACCAACATACATACCACTTTTTGTTAATTCAAATTTATCAGACTCAAATACAAGTCTAAAACCATTTTTACTTAACAAAGAACCAAAAACTAAATTCTTTTGAATGTCTGGTACATGCAGCACGTTGTTGAATGTAAGTTCCTTCCCCGATGTCATCTTCAAGATCACCTTTCCTTGTCTAGCTACAGCAGAAAAAAAAGAATTTCTCATGGAAAATTGTTCACCATTTGCAGCCTTATGGTAAGTAGTGAACATCTTCTTGTCCATGCAAATGTGACGAGTTGCTCTAGTGTTAACCTACCATTCCTTGGGATTTCCAACCAAATTAGCCTCAAACACCACAGTAGAGAGATTGATGTCATTTACCCTATCAGAGATGTAATCTAGTTCTGTCACATTGGCTTGATTGGCAGTCTTCTTGCTTGTACTTCCATGATCCTTCTTAGGAAGGCGACAATCAGAGGCTCAATATCCAGTTTTGCCACAGTTATAACATTTTCCTTTGAACTTCTTATTGCCATTGTTGTCGCCTTGTTTAGGACCATCTCCAACAAACTTCCTCTTTTTGTTATGTGGTTTGGGTACTTGTTCAACCACATTAGCCTTGGACTCAACGGAATTTTTACCATTCCTCTTTTCAGCCTTACGGTTATCTTCCTCAATTCTTAGTGTTACAATTAGTTCATCCATGGTTATCTCTTTGCGTTTATGTTTTAAATAATTTTTGAAATCTTTCCAAGCCGGTGATAATTTTTCCACTAAAGCAGCAACTTGGAAAGACTCACTAAGAGACATACCCTCAGCATGAATATCATGCAAAACTAATTGAAAACTTTGAATTTGAGAAATTACTATTTAGGAGTCTACCATAACAAAGTCTAGAAATTTACCGACAATAAATTTCTTTGTGTCGGCATCCTCTATCTTGTATTTTTTCTCCAAAGAATCCCACAATTCTTTTGCTATTTTCAGAGGACTGTAAACATTATACAGCATGTTGTTAAGCCCATTAAGGATGTAGTTTCTACACAGAAAATCAGAATGTTTCCAAGCGTCTACAGCCGCAACAACTTGCCAATTACTTTCATCCTCTTTAAGTATTAGAGCCTCTTCACAGAGAAATCGGGCCAGATTTAGAGTTGTAAAATAGAACAAAATTTTCTGCTACCATCTTTTAAACTCGGTGCCATTAAATTTTTTTCCCTTTTTCTCCATGATTTATTGGAACTTGAACACGGTTCTGGATAGGGACCGGAGTCGTTGTAACAATTGGAGTACCACTTTCAACTGCACTAGCCATAATATCTTATTACAAAAATCAGAAAAACCAAAACACAAATTAAACCAGAAAATAAATTATAACACAAAATAATTTTACTTTTCTAATTACTAAGACCAGAAAAATAAAATACTACAAACTAATTTTTCTGTAACACTATTACACAAATTAATATTATGAAATTGTTAATGAAAAACAGTATATTACTACTATTTGTCAAAGAAAATAAACTATTTATCAAACAGTATATGACTATTATTTGTATTTTTCAACCAGAATATCACTTTGTAAAAGCACAAAAAATAAATACAATGAAGACACCCAAATTAGTCTGTTTTAAGATTGTTAGACAATCTTCACTGTATTAAAAATAAATTATGTTTGTATACTCAACAACAAACAAAACACACAATAAATAAATTAAAAGAAAAAGAGTTTCCAAAATCTGTTCAATTACATAAACTAAACAGAAAATGGAAATAGAGAAGGAGAGAATAAAATAAAATTAAGAACAGAAAATACTTACAGAAAATATTTTCTTAGAGTGATCAAGTCTAGTGTTTAACATTGTATCCTTAAAACAGATTCATCCTCTTTAAGGTGCTCACAGAATTTGGACGTCTATCTCCCAGGATGAAATGATCTTCAACAAACAGTAGCATCGTTACAAACTGTTTGCACAATGAACACACTTTGTGTTTATACACTTTCCCACAGAAAATTAAATGCAGCAAAATGCAGAGAGCAATGAAAAAACAAGAACGAAAATTAGAGTGCAAAATCCAAATGAGAGCATGTCTATTTATAGATGAATTGATGGTTTTTCAGATTTGAATTGAACAGGTATAATACTTGTTCGGTTTCGAATGAACAGGTAAGGAACCTGTTGGGTTTAAATTTTGAACAGATACTGAATCTGTTCGGTTTAATTGGACAGGTATAGACCTGTTTGGGTGGAGGAATAATCTGGACATTAGTTGGAATTGATTTTAACCCAACCACACACCACGTACCAACGCTCAAGCACAGCCCGACCGGACGGACAGTGGCGGAGCGCGCGTTTATTTTGGGTCCAATGGATCTATCCCACTTTATCCATAACCTCTCCCTCTATAAAACTTGAGTGCCCCTTGGGGACTATCCCAAGTTCCAAACCCAAACCTTATAAACCCACTCAAAGTTTACTCACCAAACCAATGTGGGACAAACCTTAATGGAAATTTCACCAAAAACACCATTTCTATGAAGCTCACTTTGGCTTCAATTTCCTGTACACCAGATAATGGTTTTGAGCAACCAAATATACTACATGAATCACAACGTGGTATATAACGCGTTACCACTTAGACCCGCCAACTTTGGTGTATGGGTCCCACCTAAAAATTAAACCAAAATTTAGGAAAAAAAAAATTCAAAGTCATTTCTAACAAAAACAACCCTCCATTGGTAACATTATCTCTCTACATGAGATAGGGTTTAGGATTTTACAATACGCGTGAAATCATCAGTCTCCCATTCCTACGGTATGAATGATAAATGTTAAAGAAACAATATTTTTGTTAATTAAAAACTAAAGTAAATGCTTATCTTTCTTTTAAGAGTATTGCTATACAAGTCTAAAAATTAAATCTAATTTTCAAGTCTAATGATGTGACGATTAATTAGGATATCTAAGGTAACCCTCTCTCTCATATCTTCTCAATCATCAACCAATCATATCACTTACACATCATCGAGTCTAGAAAATGGGTCTAAGAAGTGGACTTATCTATCATTTTCTTTTTTTAATTAGTTTTTAAATCCAAAAATAAATAATCTTTTTTTTTACTTAATTAACTATCATTTTAATTTAGAAGTTTAAAACTAAATGGGCTTTAAATAATTTTAATATTTCATGAGGTTTTAAAGAAATTCTTATATAATGTGAGGCTTTTTTAAAAGTTTGGAGGCAGGGTTGATGGTTATCCCTTCATCACATTAATTAATACATGTATTAATTTCAATTGTGATTGAAATTGAATAAAAACAATTGTTAACTAGTTATTTTCTAGGCACTATATATTATAAATAAATAAATAAAACGAAAATGTTTGAGTGCTCGAAATGTGTAGCTCGAATCTGGCTTGAAATCGATTTTTTTTTTTTCATTCTTTTTCTTCCTTCTTCTGTTACAGAGCAGGCGAGAAACAGAGGCGAGAGTCGTCGCAGGCAGCTCGTCGTCGTTGCTGGCAGCAACTCGTCGTCATAGGCAGCTCGTCGTCGTCGCTGGCAGTAGCTCGTCGTCACAGGCAGCTCGTTGTCGTAGGCGGCAGCTCGTCGTCGCAGGTCCGTCCCTCGCCTCCGCCGATCGCGTCCGCCCCCTCCTCCTCCATTTTTGAGGCCCCCTCCAGTCCTTCCTCCCCTTCCCCCTCCCCCTCCTTCTCCTTCTCTTCTTCGTCTTCTTCCTTTTGCTGAAAAAAAAAAAAAAAAATACAAAAACGACGCCGTTTAAAATTCGAGCCAACTTCGAGCCTGAGTAATTCGAGCTCTGTAGCGGGTTCGTAAATAAAAAGTGTGTGGAAACTACTAGAAGTTCCGTGAGTATTTTCATTCAATTGGGGTGTGTGTGTGTTTGGGTGGGGGGCCCCTCTGAGTGTTGTTAATTATTAATTAGATCATCAAAAGTAAAGAAGCTTCACCAGTTTTCTTTGCTTCCAAAAGTAGTACTGAGCCAATGCTTTTTAATTAATTTAACAAAACTTTAGCTAGTTTAGCTTTAGGTGATCGGCACAATCTTTCAGCCACTGCACATTTCTGCGTGTGAAAGGTCTGAATATTTCCAACAGATGTGCTATGCCTTAACAATTTTGTTATGAGAATTTTCCTTAATTTAAATGTATTGTGTATATTTAAATTTAGTGTAATGTAAATTACTCTCAAAATTTATTCATTTTAACACGTAATTTGATGAAAATGAGAATTAAGCACTCGAGTTAACCAATGACTAGATATTATGCACTTCATTAGGTCAAGGTCTTTAACTTCCCCCTCTCTCTCCAATGTATCCAAAAAAAAAAAAAGTGATAATATTGAGAATTGCTGCTATCTATGAATTATACTTTGAATAAGGAGTGGTACCTGAATATTTGGTGGTGTTTGGGAAGTTTGTGGGTTGGTTTTTTTATTTTTATTTTTAACATTAAAAGACAATTTTTTTGCAAAACTAAAAAAAACAAATCCAAATAAAATATCACATCCAATTCTATAATCATTTCACTTTTCCTCTCACAAATATCACATCCAACTACAAAAAAATCCAACTATCTTCCCAAACAACTAAAAAAAATTTATCCAATAATATCCAATAATATCACCTTTTCTCTTATAGTCAAAGGTCATATATATGTCCATATATTCTGAGAGATTCCTTTATTATGTTGTGGGTAATGTTATATATTTTTTCCCCAAACTTAACAATCCTACATGAATATTCACAAAACAAAACAAAACAAAGAGATGAACCAATATTTAAACACTTGAGACCAAATATAAAACAATAAATTATCCCATTGCTGCATTTGGGTTTATTTAACACCACCACAATAGATTAACACACATATAAATAGATAGGATGCTCACATTCAAAAGAGAAAAATGAGTTCAGAAATGCCAGCGGCCTCTTCAATCCAAGGAAGATTCAAGGTCAGTCTTCCATCAGCAGACCACTCAAAACCAACATCACCACCATTCAAACAACACTTCTTTGGTTTCCCACTTGAGAAAGCCAAGAAATTCCCACCTCCCTTAACTTCAATTTTCGCACTGGTCGCACTGTAGTCCAAGCTCTGTATGGTCCCACCACTGTTGAACATGTTGGTTAGCCCAATGGGTGCAAATTTGGTGGCCAAGACAAGTTTCTTGATGGGCACAAAGCTGAAGATCTCAAAGGAAGATGGTTTGAGTGTAATGTGAATTGAATCAGAGTTGGGTGTTGCTAAGACTAGTTTCTCAGACTGGTTGAGATAGACTGCATATTCCTCAGCTTCACCCATTGTGGTTGCTTGGAGCTTTTGGTCCCATTCGATGTCGGTGACGTGGACTGAACCAGACATAGGGTTGTAGCAGTGTGAGTAACCTTTGATCCTTTGTTCCTTGGAGTCCCATCCAGCTCCTTGGCAATTGAATGCACCAATCACTCCTCCATACTGAGAAATTGTAGATAAAATGATTGTGTCAACAGATGGGATAACCAAAGTTAAATTCTCAATTAAATTGTACCTTGGACCATAATCATGGAAATCTGAATAAAATTTGACAAGATTTGTCGATGAGCTTATTTTTGAAAAACTATATGGGTGTTTGGAGTAAACTAAAAAAATGTACTTTTTTTACCTACATATACTTATTTGGACCATATCAATCAGCATTTATCAATATCTCCTCTCTACTTTTCTAACCATTTTCTCTACTTTTCTACAAATTTTTTTTTTTATATATAGAAAGTCAAAAAGTACACTTATTTAGAACATTTCAAACCATCCCATCCATATTAATTTTGTATCTAATTTTATAATCAAATTTTGCATTTCTAGAATTTGGCCAAAGTGATGAGGTGGGATGTACCTTGTTGAAGTTCCAAATCTTGAGAACGGTTTTGTTGTCGAAAAGCGGGTTCTTGAAGAGGCAATCTCTTGTCGGGAGTGCAAAATGGTGGCACTTGGGAATGGTACCATCTGGAAATACAAGCTTGTTGAGAAGATCAAAATCATGACCACCCAAGGAGTCACTCACATACACTGGTCCTCCACAGATGGCCCTTGATCCTGCATGAAATTTGGCACACAGATGATCAGACTGAAACATATCCCAGTCAGGCTGTATGATCTGACCCATCCACATGCTGTTGTAGGCACAGTGTATCATATGTACCCCCTGTAGCCAATACACCCCATTCGGGTCACCATTCGGATCTTGGAACCAAAAATCATCTCCTGTATGCATCACCAAAACTAACTAAATTAGAACTAGAACTACCATCAAATCCTACATGCACGGGAAAAAAAGTTAAGAAATATGCACAGAATACGTGATTCATACCAACTCTTCCAATGGATATCTGCTCGGTTCCGAGGAAAAAGAAATCATTGCATTGTTGCATACTAGCAATGAGTCCAGTTCCATTGAAATTCTTTGAAAGCGATTTTGAAAGCCCCTTGTAGTATGCCTTGGCAAGCTCAACCCGGCCTCCATATTCCTCACTCAGATATTCAAGTGTCTGAATCAAAAACCAAAAAAATTAGTTAGTTGTGCAGTAAAACACAAATATACAAGAGAAATGGTGAGATTAGGAAACTTACATGAATAACATCCACTTTAACTCCACTAATTCCAACTTTCGAAAGGTAAGAGTGCATCGACTCATAAAAATCATCTGCTTGATCAGGATGAACAAGCCCAATGCCGCCTTCAATGATTTTCACCACTGCAAGATCGGTCATCGTCCCATCAAGCCCGGGAGAGACTTTACAAGGGATTACCTTGGAATTCAGGTGAGTTGTTCCAGGCCTGACACCGCCCCAAGCGCCGCAAAGAGCGTGCCAGACATAAACATCATCCAAACCTTTGAATTTTGTTTTCAAATCATTTGTAAAAGCCTTCATCCCATAATTTGCTTCTGCTTTGCAACAACAGCTTCCACAGCCAACTTCTACCTCGTTTCCACAAAACATTTGGTTCAATTTCTGCTTCAATCTCTCAATCTCTGACTCGAATTGGGACAAGTCAGTGACCCCAGATTGAACTGCCCTGTCTCGAGCCTTCTCAGCTTGCTCGATCGCAATTGCTTTAGAAATCAGCACCTTTGGCTTCTTGGTATCAAAGGGAGGAGGGTTAGGACCCAACAATGATCCACCCTTGTAGTTTCTAAACTTGTCACATTCCTCAAACCTGTGAAGCCTAGCAGTCATTTGAGTCCCACCCAGAACAAGATTTTTAGCATCTTTATGTGGGTCTTGGCTATCAAGATTGATGCTTTGCCACCCATCGTCGATGATCATGAACCTCGGTGACACTCCTCCATCGGTGAATTCCTTCACTCCGAGCCAGACTCCGGCTGGTTCTACCGACAAGTAGAATGCATCCCACGTGCACCAACCGAACTTGTCGACGATAGGTGGGGCTGATTTCTCTTCCAAGAGCTTGAAAGTGTTGAGATGAACTCTGAGAGCAGTATAAGCTTCTTTCATTATGTTGTATGGATTTTCAGACACATGAACATAAGCAATAGCATCAAATGATGATGCTTTCACTTGGGTGGAACCGCTTTCGGCGCAAATCATGAGATGATCATCAGTGCCGGGATGAAGGGCAGACCTAAACTTCCCTTCGATGGTGGGTAAAATTAGGACATAGGACCTTATTTCAGGGACATCTAAGAGTACCCATTGGGTCTCCATTTGTAAATCTGACCCAGAATTCCCTACCCACTGGGTAGACCACCATGTTTTGAACCTGAAAATACTTAGAAAGTCCCTCCCATTGAACTTGCCTAATGAGTTCATCAACCTATCAGATGGTTCCTCTTCCTTGTTAAATCCGAGAAATCCACCATTGAAGGATGTTGATTGGACGCGCTGGAACAGGGGAAGTGGAGCATCAGAGGATTTACATATTGAAGAAAAGGGTTTGAAAGAGACATTGCTTGGAACTTCAGAAAGCAATGGTACACCTTTGACAGAGAACTTGCCATGAGACAAATCAAAACTGTTTTTCTTAGTGTCGGTTTCGGGGACGCCAAATATTGAGTTTGTGGGATCATTTGGGGGTGCCATGACTGAGAAAAACAGAGAAAACGAACAGAGTTGACAAATCAGAAGAACGGACTAAGAAAATGAAAAGAGGGAGCAATTGAACAAGAAAGCTTATGAACAAAGAGATGTTTGGGTAGAAAGAAATGAGAGGAAAGACACGTATATATAGAAAAAACAGAAGAAAGTGCGTGTGGAAAATGAATAAAAAATAGAATCAAGCAACGTTTCAGGATAAGGTGGACGGTTGATGTGGGGACTTTATACTCTCTTCTTCCTATTAGTGGTCTGAGAAACAAACACACACCCAATATGGAAAACAACCCATAATGGAAAATGACCTGAGAAATTTGTTATTTTTATTATCCAATCCACTGCTGAATTTCGGTCACTTGGGGGCCATGCATGCATGTATGGATAATATATCAATGTACTGTGTGTGCTAAATTGGTATTTTTTTTTCAATTTGCTGACCATCTTTACTTATAATAACTATTTTTTAGTACCTTTTTCCATCTGGGTTGAATCTTGGTTTGAATGTTGGAGAGAGAGAGAGAGTTCCTTCCCTACCAAGAAACAAAATACTGCAGCATAGTGCATCTCTGAGAAAGTTATGGGAAATTGGGAATGTTGGGAGACATTTGTTGTTTGGAATGTAGAAAATGATGGAGCAGAGACTGTAAAGATTGTAGAGAACTGGAAACTTCTTTGTCATATTATTTTATTTTATTTTATTTTTTAGTTTAATTTATTTATGTTTATATATATATTGAATTTGGCCATTGAAAGATTGAGATGTTCAAAAAATATTTGGTAGGTGGGCAACCGCTTATATCAGCTCTCAAAAAAACGGTGATGACCAAAAAGACTTGAAACTCTGTCAAAAATCTCTGGTTTTTTTTTTAAAGTACTTTTTTCTTCTATTATTTTCTCTTTCACAAATTAATAATTCAAATAAAAAATAAGAATCAAAGTCTTTTTTTCCCAATAGAACTGTTAGTTCTTGGGGTGAAATGAATTTTATTATTTTGATTTTTCAGCAGAAGCAACTGTGGAGGAGCCACCGCTTGCAAAATGAAATAGTGAAGTGAGTCGGTGGCTTATTAAAATCGCAATTAGCGGCTCCCCCACTCAAACAGGACAGTAAAATATATTCAAAGAGAAAAGTTAGGGATCATGAAAATTTTGTCATGAAAATGATCATGAAAAAATTATGATTCTTGGATTACCTTGATTAGTGTGTGTTGCTTTATTCTAAGTGTAATCCAAGGGTCACAAAACTTTCATGATTATTTTCATTGAAAGATTGAGATGTTCAAAAAATATTTGGTAGGTGGGCAACCGCTTATATCAGCTCTCAAAAAAACGGTGATGACCAAAAAGACTTGAAACTCTGTCAAAAATCTCTGGTTTTTTTTTTTAAAGTACTTTTTTCTTCTTTTATTTTCTCTTTCACAAATTAATAATTCAAATAAAAAATAAGAATCAAAGTCTTTTTTCCCAATAGAACTGTTAGTTCTTGGGGTGAAATGAATTTTATTATTTTGATTTTTCAGCAGAAGCAACTGCGGAGGAGCCACCGCTTGCAAAATGAAATAGTGAAGTGAGTCGGTGGCTTATTAAAATCGTAATTAGCGGCTCCCCCACTCAAACAGGACAGTAAAATATATTCAAAATGAAGGGTGTTTATGTATTTTTATATTTCTTGCGTCTATCTCCTTCAAAACCGACCTCGTTTCACTTTTTAAGAACTTAAAAATTGAGAGTAATTACTATAAATAAATAAAAAAATAGTAACAAACAAAATTTAATTTTTTAATTACTTGTATTAAATTTTACAATAATATCAATTCTAACTAACGGAACAAGAAGAATTTGGCTAATTTAAGAAAGGAAGAGGAGATGGATGATATGAATTAAAAAAGTAGAAAAATAACAATGAATTGGAAAAATAGATGAAGAAATGACAATAGATTGCAAAATATGAGAGGTGATGATGAACAGCGATATGCGTACATGGGAAGCGATTGTCAATTGTGATGAAAACAAAATAAAAAATAAAAATAAAAAAATTGTTTAAATTGTGTTCACTTAACTAGGCTTGGTTCCAACCTTAAAAAAAAAAAAAAAAAAAAAACTATAGACAAAATTTCAAAACAAAAATTTTAATCATTTCTTAGCTACATCTATTAGAAAGGAAAGTCGAAATGAAACTTTAAGAAAATATAATTTGAAAATTTGAAAATTTTTGAATTTTTTTTTTAAAAAAAAAGACACAAACAAACAAAAAATAACAAAAAAAAAAAAAAGAAAAGAAAAGAAAAGAGAAAGAAGACGAAGGAGCAAGCAGGACTTAAATACAAAAATTTTCGGCATTTTTAATGTAGGCCCGTCGTGATTGGCCTGGGCTGCTGAAACACCCTTGTCCATTTCTAATTGAGCGAGGCCTGTCCAACTTTTACACTTATGTTCTAATTGAATCATTTTTTTTCGTATCAGCACTAACGAAAACAAACCAGATTCGTAGTTAAAATCATCTTCTACAATATCATATTCTCAAAATGGGGGCCGAGCTAGATACTAAAGCTTTTGGTACCTGAGCTAGCCTGGACTGATGAAGGCCCATCTTTACTTATCCATTCCTAATTGGACCAGACCTCCCACCGAATGTCGAATCCTCTTTTTAAAATTTGTAATAAAATCTTGCACGACATTGAAGAAATTATATTCTCTCTCTATATATATTGAAGAAATTACAATTCAAGGTATGCTTTTAAAAAAAATTAAGATCGCCAACAAATTTTACAAATATTAATAATTAAAGTTTTAAATTATTTCACTAATATGTAACTATTTTGTAAAGAGGGCACTAAATTGTAATTTTTTCATATATAATCGGTGAGTAACAAAGAGAGAAAGAAATAATAAAAATTTAAAGTCATTATAAAATTATATACTCAATGGTATCCTTTGGGTAAATTATCAATAGGTCTTAGTAGTTAAGTCTCGTTTGGAAATAAGCTATGTTAGTAATTTTTTGACTTTTTATAAAAAGATGTGCATAAAAGCAAGAGAGAGTAATGTAACAACTTATAGTGATTTTTTCACTAAAACTAAAGGTTGCCAAATGAGCCCTTAATTCCCATTAAGTGCTATTAAAAGTTAGTCATACTTAAATCGTGACTAAAAATAATTTTTCGTAATGATTTTTTATATATGTCGCTAAAAATTGATAATTAGTGACTTTTTGTTACGATTTTTATAAATTATTACTAAAACTTACAATTAGTGACGTTTTTTGTGATTAATTTTTTAAATTGTCGCTAAAAACTAAAATGGTAAATTACATTGACACCCCTTGAGGTTTGGTCCAATTACTACCCATCCCCTGATGTTTTAGAAATTACATTCCTACCGCTGTGGTTAATAGTCTCATTTCACAAACTCTCCTGTTTATATAAAAGGTAACAACTCCTAGTAGAAAAATAGAGAAAATTACATATAAAAAAAAGTAAAGGAAATGAGAAAAAAAAAAGAGAAAGTAAAGCAAAACAAAAAAAGAGAGAGTGCATGAATTCAATATCTTCATTTTGTCTAAATAATTACAATGACATGGGGGTTAGTGTAATTTTCCAAATGTCAGGGGTGATATGTATTAAACTCAAACCTCAGGGGGTGTAAGTGTAATTTACCCAAACTAAAAATTAGTGACATTTTTTTAACGATTTTTTTAAACTGTCACTAAAACTTATAATTAGTAACTTTTTGTGACAATTTTCCATTTATCACTAAAAATTAATAATTAATGACATTTTTTAATAATATTTGATAAAAAAAAATAATATAAATTATCATAAGACTTATTAAATAATAAATTCACAAATTAAGATTTATACACAAATTCCTTATCCTGAGTATATGATAAGATTGATCAAAAAGTGAACTTTTTGTAGTATAAAGATGATATAAAAAGTGAATCAGCCTTTTGTGCACCTTTGAGGTAAGAATAAATCTGTATTTGTCATGTATTGTGCCTTTTTTAACACTCCTTTTCTATTATTTAAAAAAAAAAAAAAGAAACAAAAAAAAGAAGGGTATATTCATCTTTCTTTGTCCTCTTTGGTAACTTGGGTTATATTTGATCCGCAAAGTAGTTATTTTGTTTCCAGCCAACTTATCCTAGAAGAACATTTCGAATGTGTTATGTTGGGATAAGGGGAGCTCCTAAATAAATCAATGTAATTTTTTTTTATACTTACCACATGCATTATAAATCTTGTACCTTTAAGAAAATATACTTCCGAATGTTGGTATAGAAAGAATTTTTGTGTGTATTTGGCAGCTCATCGGGATAAGCTTGTCACAACCTAAGTCACTCAAGCAAAACTTTGGTTGCTCGAGCAAAGATGTAGAATCTGAAATTTTCAAATTACTGTTTCAAATTCAAAATATGAGTTTGAAACTTAAGATCTGTTCTTTTGGGCCAAAAATTTTAGAAAACATTTGAAAACTAGTATTACATCATGAATTGAAAATTATTTCTCAAAATGAAAGCCCAAAACCATGACATTTCTTCAATACCATGCTCCAAACTTTGTGTTTAACACATGCATGTGATGATTTGAGCTCTCAACTTCCAAAATAGAACTAATTGAGATAAAATGACATGAAACATGATGAATTTCCCAAACCAAAGCTAAGACAACTACATGCATGTGAGTATTCTTGGAAAACAACTTCAAAACTTGATGAAATATGCATTTATGTAAGGATTGATCTATAATTTTACATTCTTAGTTAAATTCTTGTGTTACTCTACCTAAGTATTCTTGAATTCACATTCTAATTAACTCAATTTCCTAGATCAAATGTTGAACTCTTACCTAAGCTTTGAGTTTATAAGTGTAGAAACTTAATTTTCTCAAATTCTCTTCAATTCTCTCTTTTCCTTCACAATCCCTCTTCTCCAAGTGTTGAATTCAATCTCTTAATTTTCTCAAATTCTCTTCAATTCTCTCTTTTCCTTCACAATCCCTCTTCTCCAAGTGTTGAATTCAATCTCTCTCTCTCTCTCTCTCTCTCTCTCTCTCTCAGCTCAAAAAGTTTGAAGTGGAAATGTGTAAATGTTCTGAGGCTTAATAGATTTGAACTCAAAAAGCTTGGAGTGGAAATGTGTAAAATGTTCTAAGGTTTAACATTAGCTTTATATAGGCTTAACTAACTAATCTAACTTAGCCTAATCAAATTGAAATTAATTATTCTAATTTTTTGATTCCGAATCGAATTTCAATTAAACTTATTCTAAGATTCTAAAAATTCTAAATAATATATAAGCGTAGTCAATTTCATGTTCAAATGCCGATAAAGCCTCCAATTCACATATTGAATCGGAAATTCAAACAGATATTCCTATGTTAGACAGATATAGTCACAAATAACACAATACACATGCAATTAACTCAGAATTTCTTCTGAATTACTTGTTAGGTATTCTTAATTAAGGATTATAAGCTAATCACAGGTCGAAGTTGTAACAAAGTTGTTCCACTCCTTCTCTAGGATAAAATAATTATGTATATGCGTTATAAAAGATTCCTTTAAAACTAGTTATCTCGAATCAAAAAAATGAATGAAATCCGATATTATTTTATTTAGAGATCGTTTAAACACTTCCTTCTTTGTTATTGACGAATCATCAATTTAGCATACAACTAGAATTATTCTTCTTTCTTTTAGTTTTTATTTTTTTATCTTTTGTTCGGTCAATTGGACTTGCATTTTAAGCTTCATTTTAGCGTATAGGAAAGGTTTGGTCGTTGAACATAAGGAAATGCCTTTTTAAGGACATATCAAGGGGAAAAAAATATGAAATTATAATAACTATTGTTAGCACTATTATGCAAAACACAAAATTAGTTAGAAAAAACAGAAAAGAAAAGGGAGAGAGAGAGAGGGAGAGAAAATAATAATAATCTGACTGGCCATCAAAATAGTATGAACTTTTAATTAGTCAGATAGAGTTAAACTTGAGTAATTAGTCAATCAGATCCCTTCAAAATTTGAGTCTTTACCTCTCTCCTCCCCTGGCATTGGCCAATTTGCCACACCCCCCCCCGTGATCTTTTTGGAGTGTAAAAATGATATAAAAAAAGAATCAGACAAAACAAAACAATCAATTTTCAATAAGTTTCGGGCCCTGAATATAGTGTAGGCCAGAATCTCATGGTGATGGGCTGTCATGATAGAGATGTAGCCCATTTGTATGCTGGACCAATTTTTTATTTTTATTGTTGTCGCCTCTTTCAATTCGAATCCATTTCCGAATATAAAAGTTTTTGATATTCAGCAGATCGAATCAATTAAAAAAGCAGAGCAAAGAATTTTAAAAAAAAAATCTGGTATTGTTTTTATTTTCTTTGTTTTTGGAAATAAAAATAAGAAAAAGTTCAAAAATATTCATCTTTTTCTTATCATTTTCATTTTTATTTGTAAATTTTTTTGCTAATTCAAAAATAACCTATTAAAATTTTCAAAAAAAAAGAAAAAGAAAAGGAAAAGACTATGGTACACCCCTCAAATTAAAAAAGAAAATAATATAATTTCATAGTTTCTAAGTTATAACTAAAAAAATAAAAATAAAAAATCATAACCAAATAACACATGAAACATAATCAAAGATCTTATGAGTCATAACTAAAATAAGGTCATAATTAAAAAAGTAAATTAATTATAATTAAAGAAGAAAATAACATAATTTAGAGATGCATGTAGTAAGAGTATGTATAGTAGAATTTCCCTTTACGTTATTACAATCATATGTTTTTTCATTGAAAACGAGGGCAATACTTTTATTACAGAATTAGTTTAAGAAATAGCAGCTTGATAAATGAAATTAAAAGAAAATTACATGTGAAGAATTTAGCATGTTCAAACCTAGAAAATTAATCTGTTTGAAGGGAACTGCAAACCCCCGGATGAGGTAGGTTTATATGCTGTAAATTTCCTCTCTGAATTCTCTAGTGTCAATAAAGGGGTTGTTCCTATTACCAATCAAGCCCAAACATGGAAGGCACCGGGAATCGGATCTGTTAAAATCAATTTTGATGGAGCTATTGTGAATGTGAATGATGGTCGGGCTGCATTGGGGATTGTTGTGCGGGATTTTAGGGTTGTGTTATGGCTTCTTGCATAGAGCAATTTCGCTTTTTTCCGATGTCGATCATGTGGAGGTTTTGGATGCTCTTCGGTCTTCCATTATGGCAAAAGATGTAGGCTTTTCTTCGGTTGTGTTTGAGGATGACTCTCTCTCTCTCTCACAGTGATCAATTCCATCAATGCTGTAGCCTGTAGGTGATGATTTCTGAGTGCATGCATGCTTGTAGTTTTTGCTTTTGTGCTTTATTGGTCTTAGTTCTTCTACTTTGTTTTCGAAGCGCAAAAAAGCAAACTAGAAAATTAATTGCCCAATGTCCACGTAACTAAGAGTTGCATGTAAATATGGTTCGAATATTGTTTGTTGTAATCGATCTCCGAAAAAACAAATAATAATAAATAAAAAATATATATATTTGAAAAGGAAATAGAAACACAGAAAACATGTGCTACCAATGATCACAACTATTACAGTCATAGGGACATATAGCTCAAAATACGAACTTTATTGCATTATTAGGTATTTGTTGACTTGGGTACGTACGGTTACAACATTAATTGATACCAATGATAGCCATGCACGTTCCTCTTCGTCTTACACATGGCCCTCGTTGGTTTCACTACTTGATTTAAAAGCCCCCACCACCGCCACCCCCTCCAATACCACCACCTGCACCTCCGCCTCCACCTATACCTCCAGCTTGCCCACCGCCAAAGCCACCACCTTGTCCCCCTCCAACACCTCCACCTGCACCACTACCAAAGCCACCTCCATGTCCACCTCCAGCACCTCCGCCTACACCTCCACCTACACCACCGCCAAAGCCACCACCCTTTCCACCTCCAGCACCTCCGCCTACACCGCCTCCTTCACCACCCCCAATACCGCCACCCCCACCTACACCACCACCGTTTCCACCTCCAATACCTCCGCCTACACCACCCCCAATACCACCACCTCCACCTGCACCACCACCCTTTCCACCTCCAATACCTCCACCTACACCGCCTCCTTCACCACCCCCAATACCGCCACCTCCACCCTTTCCACCTCCAACACCTCCTCCTACACCACCTCCTGCACCACCACCCTTTCCACCTCCAACACCTCCCCCTACACCGCCTCCTTCACCACCCCCAATACCGCCACCACCACCATTTCCACCTCCAACACCTCCGCCTACACCGCCTCCTTCACCACCCCCAATGCCGCCACCTCCACCCTTTCCACCACCTGCACCACCGCCAATACCGCCACCTCCACCTGCACCACCTCCAACACCTCCGCCAATGCCACCTCCCTTTCCACCTCCAACACCTCCGCCTGCACCACCCCCAATACCGCCACCTCCACCTGCACCACCCCCTGAACCGCCGCCAAAGCCGCCACCCTTTCCACCTCCAGCACCTCCACCTACGCCACCACCTCCACCTTGACCACCGCCAAAGCCACCACCCTTTCCACCTCCAGCACCTCCGCCTACACCACCACCCTTGCCGCCTCCAAAGCCACCACCTTCACCACCCCCAACACCACCACCTCCTCCGACTCCACCACCCTTGCCAAATCCTCCACCTGCACCTCCACCACCTCCAATGCCACTACCTAGACCATCACGACCAATGATCTCTTCCTCAAGTCGTCGTCCTTCACTTGTACCCACCACCAGCAAAGCCACCAACACAGTTAAAGCAAACACTACTCCAACATTCTTTGAAAACTTCCCCATCTTTCACTCGAAACAGAAAGAAAGGAACCAATAAAAGACTAGCAAAAAGCTTCTTGTTCTTCATTCAACCACTGCCATATGGTATTTATAGGGAACTTGAAGATCAGGTAATAAATGCATGCAGTTGAAACATCATCTTTGTGTCTCTCTCCCCAATTGCCAATCGACAAAAAAATTTCAACCCACCTTGACCTTTGATACTCCATGACGGTGCCCTTATTATTGCACCCCCAACTTTCAACTAACTAAGTGCCACCTGCCTCCACGATTGTTTCCATGCAGGAAAAATTATTCACTAATTTCACAACACTAGTCTACAAAACATTTGGTACCGACTACTTCAAACGTAATGAATACCATTTTCTATGTAATTAAAAGACAAAATATGACTGACTTAATGTTATACAATTCTGATTGACTGGGATACCAAAAGTCCATGATGATCTCTTTCTCTTGTGTTCGAATTGAACTTTAAATTATGTTATATATGGATACTTACGAGACACTGTTGACATTTTTAAAACCCTCCAAAAACTCCAAGAAGATGACTATATACAGGGGCGGAGGCACTCAAGGCCAGGGGGTCACGTGCCCCCCGGGTTTTTAGAATATTTTTTTTTTTTCAAACATAAAGAAAATATTTTAAATAAAAAAATTATAAAAATATTATTTAAAGTGAAATGTCAATGACATTTTTTAAATTATAAAAACAATAATGGTTATTTTGATTGAAAGTAAAGAAACTATGATAAGTTATGCTATTATTTATAAAAATTTCAATATAATGGTAATGTCTATAATTATTGACATGCAAACATAATTAACCTTAATGAAGATATATGAAATTTATTGAATTGTTACGTACATTTGACATGTGGAGTTTGTCCTCCATATGTTTTTTTCCATTCATTACTAAAATGACCACTATATAAATTATAATCAAGTAACACATCTTCAATTATAAAAAAAATAAAAAATTACAATAGGTCATAACTAATATCAAAATGAGTCATAACTAACTATTACTTGATATATAATAATAGCCAAAATAACAACCACAAAAAGTTATAACTAAATTATATCTAACGCTATAATGTGTCATAACTAAAGACCACGAAGATTATAATTACGACATATGATAGACATTTGTTTTTATGGTGTGTTTTACAGAATTTCTCTACTAAAATATATTATTTCTATCTCAACTTATCTTCTTTATTAATTTTCCAATCTACCTATAAATAATTACTCCCCAATATTTATATACAATTTAATCTCAAATCCTATAATTTAAAATTCATATTTATCTAAATGGACTCTTAATATTTAAGTTTAGTACTATCTCATTGTTGTTTATTATAAAAATAAAATAAAAAAATTTGCTTGGTTAGAGTTTTTCAAAAATACTTTTCAGAAAATTCTACTTTCTTGTTTTTCGGTTTTTTTATTTTATTTTTACTGAATCTTTTTAATATTTTAAGCAAATTTTTTTTTTAATTTTTAGACATATCTAACATAAATATACCTAAAAAGTAAAAAATTTGTGAAAAAACCTTTTAAAAATTCACTAAATACCAAAAATACAAAAAAAAAATATATGAAAATTCTGTACATTATTTGTATTTTTATGTATTTATTAATTTTTTAAAATATTTTTTCACAAATTTTTTACTTTTTAAATACATCTAAGTAAAGTACATCTAAAAAAGTTAAAAAAAAAATATTTAAAATTTTAAAAATATTCACTAAAAACAAAAAAACAAGAAAACCAAAAAACTTAATTCTCAAAAAACTTAATCTAAAAAACTCAAACTAAACAGACTGGTGTTATCATTAATTTGTGCCCCCTCTCCATCAAATTCCTGACTACGTGTAATGACCCCAAAAGTCATCCTTATTTAATTAGGGGTTAATGTGTTTTAATTCAACTATATCTATTGGAATTGAGAATGTTTTTATCTATTTTGGGATATTGATTGAGGTGGTGGTATGATGGTAAAGTAAGATTGGACCAAAGAATATAATTCAGATAGTTATTCTACGATCAGCCGTCACTCATTTGCCATTTTCTTTTTCTACACTTTGAATTTGAATGTGAGGTTAGAACCATTGGAAAACTTATTTCCGAGGCTTCAATTTAGACATAAGAACGACCTAGAACGGAGTCCCGATGAGAGAGTTATACTCGTTTGAAATTTTCATATCTGTGTTGGAAGCAGAGCCGCACGTGCAGGGAATAGCGCCGCACGTGCGGGCTGTGCGGGACAGCAGCTCAAAAATGAGATTTTTGGCCCATTTCTTACATTTTCTTTTCCTCTCTTCTTCTCCCCTCTTCCATGTCCGAAACCCTAGCCCCCAAAACCTTGATTTCCTCCACTTTTATCAACAAATCCACCATGGATCTTACATCAAGGATGGAAAACAAGAAAGGGTCAACATTTCCAACCGATTGAAATTCGAATTTTTGGAGGATTCTTCTCAATCTTTGCTCCTTTGCTTGATTCTTGAGGTAGGGGTCCTTATTCCCTTTCAATATTTGCATTCATGGATGGAATTATGGAATTTTGTGTATATACAAACAAAATCTATAGTTTTGAGCATATTATGTCCAACTTGAGAATTGAGGGTTTAGAGTTGGAGATGTTGGAAGTTAAATTGGTGGGTTAAAATGATGGATTGTGACTCCTAGATGTATAATCATTGGGAAAATTGGAATAAAAAGTAATGGGTTAATAAGTTTGTATTTTTCTTGAAATTTCAATATTTTCTTGAAACCCTAGGTTGATTAATGATGACAACTAATGAATTGGCCCAAATTGAAAGTAGAGTAATGAAATTGAGGTATGAAATTATATGTGTTCAAGTTTAATTGGAATTTAGAAATGTTTGAAAATTATGTTTAAAATTTATTATAAACATTGTAATTCATGCTGTAATGTGAAGGGAAAATTGGGGAAATAATCTATTAATGATATGGATGATATGAACTCGGTTTTGGAATGTTGAAATGGAATTCAAGGATTTATTTTGAATTATGTTAAATTACAAATGGTGTTGATGAATTAAGTGATATCGACTTTGTTGGATTATGTTGTGTTGACTCATAGTGAATTGAATGGTGTTGTACTATGATGAATTATGTTTGAATTACGTGAATTGTGTAGGGTCAGCTACAGGGGCGGATCAAGCACCTGAACACTGTGAGTAGTAGTACAGAAATGTACATCTTATTTATCGTTGATAATTATTGTCACTAACACTCTGTTCTTTGTAAGTGTTATCAACGTTTATGACAAGTGGAAATCAATATGAATTTCTATGAATATGGAAAGATTTGCGTACGTCGGTATGACTTTGGAACCCTTTTGTTCTGTCAATAACAAGTATTAAACCTCTGTTATTTATCAGTATAATATGTACTTCTTAAGAATAAATGGAGCTTATGTTCATTCTTAAACAATGATATCTGTATGAGTCCAAGATTATCTTGTTGTGTTACGTATGGACCCGAGGTCGGTTAGAATCTACGACATGAAAACAAAGATTTAATATCATTATGTAACCCACGTTAGAATGTAAACTGTTCTGTCTTTGCTAAGTGTATTACGATGACATGATATAACAAGAAATGCTCTATGTTCTGATATGTTACGTTTTGAATTAATGAACAGTTGTCCATAAATGTAAAGTATTCATGACATCCGTAGCACACGGCCTTTACCCAGGAGTAATAATACCGTGGTTCAAATAATTAAGTTCAAGTTTAAATATGTTACAAGTTTAAGTATGTTCAAGTTTAAATATGTTACAAGTTTAAGTATGTTCAAGTTTAAGTATGTTACACGTTTAAAGTATGTTACAAGCTTAAGTATGTTACAAGGTTAAGTATGATACAAGTTTACGTATGTTATCAGTTTATGTATGTACATGTCAAGTATGCTACAAGTTCACAATGTTGGAGGATTCCTTTATGGAACGAACAAAAAAAAAAAATACTTATTATTGATTTGCTAGCACTATTACAGTGCCAAGTATAAGCAAGTATGAATTCTGATTTCTATTTATGATTCAAGCATAATGTATATGTATGAATTTATTTCCGGGGTATGACATTACATGTATGGTTTGGTTTGTAAGACCTAATGATTATTGGTGTGGAACAAAGTGCTACTTGGAACTAAGTGCTACATTGTGAGCCACCGCTAGAGTCCATGTGAGACACCTCTTGAGTCCATACATATGTGAAAGTTGTGAGGCTTATAGCCATCCGTATAAGTTGTTATGAAATGAAACAAAGTGCTACACGAAACTAAGTGCTACATTGTGAGTTACCTCTAGAGTCCGTGTGAGACACCTCTTGGGTTCATATATGTATGTCCAAAGGCTTCATGCCAACTTTTCAAGGGCTTCATGCCAATGTTTCAAGGGCTTTAATGCCAATATGTTTCAAGGGCTTAAATGCCAATATGTTTTAAGGGCTTAATGCCATTCTGATAAGGGCTTTATGTCATTCTGACAAGGGTTTCATGCCATGTATACAAGGGCTATATGCCATTATGTTTAAAAGTTTAATGTTAATGTGTTCAAGGGCTTAAAACCATTATGACTCATGATTGGGGCCTAAGGCCATTTGAAATGAAAACAGGAACAGATTAACTACATGATCTTCGCATTTATTTATGCATTGTTATGTATTATGTTTAAATTGTGCATTTATGTATCATACTATTCACTGAGCTTGGCTCACCCTATGTTATGTCTGTTTCTGTAGGTAACCAACCAAGTGGTCAGTCCTAAACCATGACGCTTGTCCTCTTTGGTCAACCTTTCCATGTCCAAGCCTAAGAGAAGCTGCTCTTATTTTCATGAAGTTTTGACGAACTTTGGTTTTGCACTCTAGTTGTTGGCCTAAAGTTGACATGTGTGCAACACTTCGTTCTCTAATGTTTTTGATATATGCCCAATTACAGGGCTGGGCCTGTATATATGTATGTATATAACCGATGTTCAGGTGTATGTTTTAGATTTTATTTGTCTCTTAAAAGTTTATGATCCTGGCATGATAATAGTAGCTCAATGGAGTTTGTTTCTATTGTCAAATTTTGATATTTAATGCCTCCGTTCAGGCCCCATATGATATATATA